AGGCGCTAGTGTTTCCTTCCTGTGTAACCGTAGCACCTAGCTTCCAGCAGCGCGCCACGGTAACACGAAACCCTCTGCGGACGAGGATATGGACGGTATCCTATGCGTATATACGGGGCCTCCTCGCTCTCGTCTATTGAACTATACTCTGTTGCGATGTTGCCCGATATTCCGTTGAAATATCAAGGAAATTCCTGCTTACCAGTCGATAACCCCTTCTAACTTTCTTTCGAGTACCTACTTCCTTTATTGTTTTCAAGTGAGTCTTAACGTGAATCTTTTTGTTATAAATTAGACTCCCTGTTAGTTCTTTGAAGTATTTCTTTTTTTTTCTTTATAATACTTGCTTTATTATTTTGTAGTTGAATTTTAACGGAAATTGGATTTAGAATTTTTTGGTATTGTAAATTGGACTGTGATAGTCTTTCGAAGTATTTTTCGTAATACTTTCTTTCGAAATTGTTTTAACGTAAATTGGGCTTCGGTCAGTGTTCCGAAGTATTTTTGGGTGTATATGAAATTTGTGATTGAATGTGAGTAACACATTGAATGCTGCCTATACAGATGTACTGTGCACTGGTCGTTGCCATCAAGTGTCGAGTAGCCGAATAACACAATAGCGGTAGCGGCCTCAGTATCTATAGGGTGTCCCACGTAAAATTTCGACGAAACGATGACTGTTCTGATATTGCTGACGCCTAGAGATATTCGGCGGTATTAGACGTTGTGCTGTAGATCGACTGATCGACAAGATGATTACATCAATGTACGTTATTTGGACGAAATTCGTCACCCTATAGATACCGGGCCCATACATAACACTCGATGGCAACGATCACTACAGCGAAAATGGTTGCATTAGTATAACACCTATATAGGCAGCAGTCAATGTGTTAATCACGTCTGTATACCTACGCAATTTCAGTGTACAGTACTGAAATTTTTTTGTTAATATCTCGGAAACTAGTGATTAGCTGCGGCTAATATTTTATATTTGGGATCCACCCACCCTCCACCCCCTTCCCATCGAATTTTCTGTAGATCCACGATCGGGGACTTTCGGAACTCTATCTGTATTTTTTATATTTTTGCAGTACATTTCAGTGTACGTTAAATGTTCACTTCTCATCATCACCTTCTACTCGATAGTTGTATACACGCAAACATAGTATAACTATTGAGCCGCGAATTAGTGAATATTTAATCGAATCAACGTATCAGTTACCGCGAAAACATCCACGCGAGATCCACAGGTAGTTCAATTTCCGTGGATGATCGTCGCGTATATACGCATGGAGTAGGGATGCTCGAACACGATAATCGTCGCACGGTCTCGAGACACGACATTCTCTCATTAATCGTGAGCTCCGGGAAAACGTGCATGCAAATCGGTACGGGTCGAGGGGATGTTTATTGCTTCCGCATCCGGGGAAAGCTCCATGAGATCAACCAGATAAAGTCACATTAATTTGCGTTCGAACGCTAGTTCTGGCAGTCAAAATTATCGAAATTCAATTACACACTTGAGTTATACGACGACGACGACGATGATGATGATGATGATGAAGATGATAATGATTCTGTTCTTACGAGGATAGAAGGCATAGGTTGAAGCAACGTGGCCGCGTGCGCGCGCGAACATGCAGCAGCGCGACACGCATGAGAGCGCTGCACGGCCACGTATACCTTCCGGTCTCCGGTTCATTCTAATTGCCAGCCAGCCAGCCAGACAGACAGACAGACATACACAGGACCTCGGGGAAAGAAATTAAGCGGTCTCGCTCTTCTTACTCCCGGTCTCGAGAGTGAAGTAGGAAGACTGACGGATCTGCGCTACCTGCCCAATCGCACAGAAATCGCCGCCATGATGTATCGATTAATATTTATAGGCTCTCGAGTATTCTAATCATGGATCTTTTCATGGAAAAAATTTCAAATTCTTTTGGTCGATGTTTTTTTTCTTCTTTTTTTTTTTAGAAAAGGTTACTATTCTGTTCCGTAGAAAAATTTGGAAATTTTTCCCCCATAGGGATTGTAGTCAGAATTGTTAAATATCGTAATATCTCATATGGAATTTCCGACACGAGAGATTCCACGCGTGCAAACCCCCCCTAAATCATCGATAAACTCTTAATTAAATTTCCTCTGTTCTCCTTCGCTACCATTCTCCTCCCCGGTATATCCCATGATAATACACGCCTATCCTCGCAACAATGTATAACCCAGCAGCTGCAGAAAACTCGAGAAAAACTCTCGATTCCGTCGAAGCGGCTAATTACGAAGGGAATAATCGAGCTTGGCTTCCTTTGTTTCAAGCTTGCCCGAGAACGGAATTCCTACTGTTATCCCACAGATGTACCTGTGGCCGAGGCGCATCCGTGTCTAAAAAGAGAAAGAAAGAGAGAAAGGAATGGGGGAAAGAGGGAACAAACTCTCCCATTAATATGGTACACGCATGTTTTGTCGGCCATTTATGTTTGGACATATTCCTTGGGCCTTTATCACCGAAACGCACACCGCTTACATTGTACGCTCTACGCGCATGCTCGCGCAGGCGCAATGCACAATATAATGCCCCCAACGCACCGGTGAAACGAGCCCTTTATTGCTGTTCGCGCTGTGCTCGGATGCTGCTTCCTTTCTCAGGCCCACACCGTCCTCTTTCTCTCTCACTCTTATCGTGGAACGTGTCTGTGCCTCTCTTTCTCACTCTCACACGGCCCCTCGACCGAAGATACCGCGCTGCTCGAAAGCTTGGACCGCACCTGCGCCACGAATTATCGCTGGAATTATTTCTGGTTCCGTTTCTCGACGTCTGACGGTGGAGAGAGAGAGAGAGACGTTGACTCGTTAGACCAGAAGTTCGTGGGGAAATATAGTGGTGAGTCGAACATACTGTGTTTCGTGTTAGCCCGTTGTTTATGGACGTGAAATTTGGAGAAGCAGTTTGGACGTTAAAGGTTAGGAGTTGCGAAGTTAGTTCAGTTTGGAGAAGTTAGGAAGGAGAATTGAAGATGGCGTTCGGTTCAAAGTTTCTTCGCGACGCAGCTCTTGATTTATAATACTCGGATTTTGCGTATATTCTAAAGCTACAAGTTCTAAAAGTTGTTCGCAACTTCTACATTCACGAGATATTCAGAGTAACGTAAAGGATAACCTCAATCTGTTCATATATCATATTCTCAAGCGTCTCCAATTCTCTATTTACATTTCATCTCGAATTATTTATCTCTGATTCATACTATCAAATGTCAACTTTGCTACAATAATTCCGCCTCCGCTTTTCCTTTCATTCACTCAACCTGCGTGGAATCTTCATCGCTGTCGTTGACGGTGGCTCAGCAGGCCTCGTTTGCGGTAACGCGGTTCGTTAAACGAAACGAGAGTACGCGGCTGGATTTACGACAGCTCGGCGGCTTTGCGGTGTATCGTGCTGCACCGTCAACGGGAATCCGGCTATGTAGCGATGAACATAGAGAGAGAGAGAGAGAGAGAAGTGGCTTACGTCATCGGCCGATTGTCAACCACGCTTTTCCCTTTTGCTTCTCTCTCGGGGTCTCGCGACACGGGGGAGACGGTCAGCGTGTGTGCACGCAGCGCACCTGCCTTCCTTCTCGTCGAACGATAATGAGCGAACGGAGTAATTGGTCCGCTGTCGCGCGACCGCCGTGATAAGCTGGACCCGTTCCCGGAACTCGATAATTCGACGAATCGACCGGTGCAATTGAAAAACAAGCCTCTCTGATATTGCTAAAATGGTGAGATGGTTTTATGAGGCATACGAAGGGAAATTTCTGGTTTTTCAGGTTAAAGTGTGTACATGTTGAGGTTAGGTTAGGTTGTTGATATAGAAGGTGGGCCTGTATATACGGAGGTTTCTATTTTATGATTGAAATTTTAAGGTTAAAGTACACATGAAGACGGAATATTTCTGCTTTTGTGAATATTCATAAATGCACAATGTTTAAGTGTTGCAATTTTTTAGTGATATTTCAATGTATACATTTTATTCTATTTCGTGCATTTCAATGTAGGAGTGTTCACATAGGTTTTACTGGTTCCGTGTATATTTCATTCATAAACTTCATTCACAACAGATTCTGAGGACTTAGAAGTTCTTTCAGGGCTTCTTTTCGCTGGTGCAAGGGTTGTCACATGGAAATTGAAACCAACCAGATCAACCCTATACTTTGTAACATGTAACGTATATACACTCCTATGTATCGTTATATCTATATTAAACTTTACTGTAACTAAGTAGTATCTTTTTCCGGCATTCAGTAACGCACTAAAGAGATTCAATTTCTAACTAAAGAACGAATCCAGTTAACAAAGTCAGCTAATTACGTCCATTCAAACCTAACCTCAACCGCAACATGCAAAAGCCAAATACCACAAATCACACGTAACACCGCGACATACTCTATCCACAGAAGTATCACATCTCTAATGTATCAAACCACGGAAAAAATCACGAAGCAAAGCGTGAATTGCCAGCGATACCGAGTCATCTTGTCTTACAAATCCCACAGCTCAATCCGATCTCCATCTGTCGAGCAAACGAGCGTCTGTTAAAGACACTCATCCATCCCGCCAGTAATTCATTTCCGCCGGCATGACGGCCAATGGAACGATGTCGTTCGAAGGGTTTAACCGTCCGAGACACGGTAAAATCCGGGTTAGGAGAGTTTTTTCCGCGTTAGAGAGAAAAGAGCACGGATGGTCGGGTAATGCATCTGGCTACCTGCCAGCTCGGGGCTATCCTTCGACGGCCCGCTCGTTTCTGAATGAACAATAGAAAATGTCTGGCTACTCGCGGTGCTGCCGCCGCCGCCACGTCGTTAATGAATACCTTGAATCGGCCTGGCCTCGAGTTCACCGGGCGTTTTACAGGTGCACGCGGCTGCGTACACGCAGCTTGTTGTTCGCCGGTGAAACGACTGGCAACCTTTTCGCCGTGAAACACGCGCTCCCGACGTCCGACGGGAAGTTAGTTTATAGTTGCAACTATCGATTGTATCGAAGTTGTGTTTTCATTTATTCCTCGGACAAACTCTTCTTCATTTGGATCGAATTTTTCTTCCACTGTAACGTCATGTGACTTCGAAGTTACGTATCCATTTTTCTATATTTCATTTTTTATCGATATCACATTCGATTAAGAGTCGACAGCTAAGAAAGATTAGGAAATAAAAATGGAGACTGAAGAAAATTGCTAAATGTTTGTTTAAAAGTTTTTATTTTCGTTTAATATTGACATTTATAAAATATTCTCCTCTTTCGTGCAAAAGTAGAGGTATTTCTTTTCAACCTTGGAATTTTTTTCTAATATTTTCTAAACTCCGCTAGGCTTCCACAAACGCATTTCTGAAATTCGCAACAAAATCCTCGATGCGATAAACGATATGCATAAACCGGCTTATACACGAGCATGAATAATTCCTCTCTAACACACGGATGTTTAATTCATAGGTAAGATGAACACACCGGTAGAAACAATAGGCCTCTGCTTTAACGAACTCCAGGAAATCAGTTCCTTTAATATAATTTTCAACGTAAACAGACCGCTCAAGAACCGTTCTCTTTCTTTTCTCGAAAAAGAAAAAGTAAAAAAGAAATTTACGCTAAGTAGTCCTGTGGTGCGAATCGAAAAACAAAGGATGACGAAGGCCAGAAAAGTAGAAGTCGATCGTGCGTTACATACACGTCCATCTGCGCCGATGTGGCGTGCGAACATCGGCGTTTTCAGAACTCGTAACAGCATCACCTGGGAAGATAGTGGCCCTGGTAAACTGCCTTGCCTCTCCCTCTCGACTCCCGTTTCGCCGACAGCGAAACGTTACTTCCCTTCTGGGAAGAGAGGGCCCTGGGTATCCTGTTTAAGTATCGCCGGGCACGCCATCGGCGAAGCCTACCATTCGTCCTTTCTCTCTCTCTCTCTCACTCCTTTTCTCTTCTTCGATTTTCAAAGCTCTCTTCGCTAATTCTTTTTATTACTCTTCTTTCCACTAATCCACTCTCTGTGTTCCTTCTTCTTCTCCTTCTTCTTGATGGCGTAACGAAAGGCCCATTTTCTCGCACATCACTCTGGCTACGGTGGCTTTCAATAGCTTATTCAATGGTATTACTGTGAAATTGATGGCAAGTTGTTTGATCTGGCTAAAATTGTAGAAGATTAGAGGAGGAAGTTTTTCAGCTTTGAAATTGTTTTGCTGCGGCAGATTTTAATATCGTTTTAAAATCTGTTTCGTTGAATTAAGCTGGATAGAAATGAAATTAAGGTGGGTTATGGTATTAATCGATACAGTTATTGACACTGTAGCTAAGTTAAAAGTTGCCGATATTGAGACACCTGTTGATTTCTTCGATATACATATAGGTGTATCGTATCGCTGCTTGACATTGATATCGACATAATTCAAAAGATGTCAATTTAAAAAAATTTTTTATATAAATTACGTAAATGCTTTTTACATGAAATAGAAGAAAGATAAATTAAAAATTCATCTATTCTCGTTTTTATAATTGTCCATAAAAAAATTTGGTATTTCCAAAAAAATCAAATCAAACCACACTTTTAACTGAAGGACGAGTAAACAAGGATAAATCCTTGGATCTTCATCTGCCCATTATTTCCGTTCACCAAACTTGCTGCACCTTCACATCCAGAAACAGAAAAAAAGGAACAAACACGAAATTCAGGTTTCAAAAATAGAGCCCCGACGATCACCGGTGGGCTAGGGTAGGCTGGTGAGCCGTTCATTAGAGCAATATCACGCTGCTAGGGGGGGAGGAGGAGTAACCGAAACGGAGCGAAAAAAACATGCACACGGAGGCTGACCACTTAACTCTTCCTTACGCTACCGACCACAACGTAACCATACAGCATAGGCAGTACTGTTTTCGACCCATTTGGCAGAGGTTCTGATCCTACCCAGGAATCAAAACTAACAATTATTTTTGAAAAATTTTGAAATTTGAAAAATCATTGAGAAAATGTTGCTCGTTAATTAAATGAAATATAGGGATTAAAAACAGTTCTATTCCCTTCCACTTCTTATGTGTAACCAAAAAATTGTTTCGTGATGCATACTGGTTTTCAGTAACCAAAGAAAGATTTTCACGATCGATATAGGTTACTTATCAGTAACGAGAAAATATTTTCGTAATTGATATTGGTTATCAGTAAGAAAAAGCATCATAAATCAAGGTGTTAAAGTTATATCAGTACTGGTAGTCCCTGGTTCTGCCAGACTCTCGTGAGACGTTGCCTTTTCACCTGATTCCTCCTCCAAGAATAAAAGAGAAAGACGTAGGAACCATCCTAATCTCTTGGCCCATTACGATAATACGTTTAGTAGGAAGCTCCGGGAACAACTTTGTGTATATACGTGTGTTGCTTGCTCTTCTTCCTTCTCTCATAGCTTCTCCCATGAAAACACAGGTAGAGATGATAGTAGGACGAAGAAGAAGAAGATGTAGGGTTTATAATAGTGTTGGTAGCGAAGGAAGAGCGAGGAAGAAGAAGAAAAGAAGAACGCCTCTTTCCCAGAGCCACAACGTGGTGGTATACGCTTACTCTCTTTGTGCCGGATGCGTGCCGCCGGCGGAGTAGCAATAGCGGACGAACGTCCGGTCTGCTCTGCCTCCCTCCCTTCCTCCCTCCTCTCCCACCCTCCTCTCCCCACCCGTTTTCTCTAATACATCTTTCTCGCTCACTCTCGTACGGCACTGAGGCCGATGCACTTCGATCGCATCATTGGGCGCAGCAGCCACCACCTCAACGTTATGTTGTCCTCAGTCTTTACTGTTGCCCTACTGATGGACATGCTTAATTACTCTTTTGCGTTTCGTACGACCACACACTCTTTGCTTACTCTTTCGTAGAATGAAAGGGTTGTTTTATTTTTGCGCGATAGTGTTGGATTTTTTTGAAGTTGGAGAATTTTTTATTTGAACGAAAATATTTCATTCGAGGATTTTTTTATTCTAGTCCAAAGAAGCTGGTTTTTTTTTTTTTTAATTTTAGTGTATATAAGAGTTATTGCAGATGTATTTGGTTTAATTTTAGTCGTATTCTGATTCGAAGTAGAAAATTGAGGGATGAATATTGGATATTGTAGGTTAAACGAGGGGCGTGAAATTGTCAGGTACGGTTATGAGGGAGAGTATGATTGCTGGGGCGGTTTCTGGGGAAGCGGTGACAAGTGGGAACGTGTTGGAGTCAATGGGTGGTAAATTGAAATTGATTTCCATTGGGGAAACGGAGGAGTTAATTGTACTGTATCAATGGAAGTGGATTGAGCGAATCTCGGTACAATTGAACGAACTATAGAGGGAGTAATTTACTTATTACTCTCTTCGATTACAAAATTATTTTGTTTTTCATCTAGTTATAGTTTATTATTAGATCAGTATGAGAAGAAAAATGACTCTCCGCAGTTTACTCTGTTCAGGTTATTTTATTTCTACATTTTTTTAAGAAAAGAAAATAATTCTAAATATCTATGAATTCATTTATTCTCTAATAATATAAATAAAACTTTACATTTAAGAATTCAACATTTACCTCGAAAATTTTACATTTAAAAGTTCTCTTTGCAGAATATTCTAATCGCGCAATTTCTTTTTTCCTTTACAGAGAAAGTGTTGATAACGAGGTTAACAACGCAAAAATGGCTGGACGTGGGTCTGCACTGGACGGAGGACGAGTACAGAAGCGCGCACGCGAAGATGGTCTACGAATACAGGGTAACGTGCGTGGCACACTATTACGGAAAGGGCTGCGAGAACCTGTGTCGGCCGAGGGACGACAGCTTCGGTCATTACAGCTGCAGCCCGACCGGAGAGCGCGTCTGCCTCTCTGGATGGAAGGGTGACTACTGCGCTACCCGTAAGTCTTCCCTTCTCTCTTTTCTTTTCCTCACCGCGCGCCACGCCTATTATCGTACACGTAATATGCGTGCACTCCCACGCTTCCCATCGCGACTGCACCGCGCGTGACATCCCTCCTTTTGTAGGAATTCCGTGTATGAAATTACAGAGACGATCTCTCTAACGTGTTCTCTCTTTCTCTCTCTTACACATGCGCTCTCTTATGCTGCCAGTGGGTCTCTGTTTATCCCTTGTCCCGTCAGGCTGTGCGTCTCGCGCTCTGACCGCTGGGTAATTTATACTGTTCGCTTGTAACCCGAGAGGCTGTCGAATTTAAGATTTTTCTCTTTTATTTTGGCAAAAGATGATGAATGTTATATGTGTATACAGTGTTGGACAGAATTTTTAGGATTGAATACGTGTAGTGGATACTAGATAACAGTTGATCTCGTGTCTTGTAGTTTTTACAGGTTAGGGTATACATAGTGATATTTTGTTCGCACTTCTTCATTAGTGTATCGAGTGAAATAATGAATTAGGATAAGTGTTACGTGTAATTGATTTTATCTGTTTCGTAACATATGTAGTTCAAGTTGTATTTTCATTACTTTATTACTGCATCAAGTAAAATAGTGAATTAAATAAACGAAGTGTTACATAAATGTACTTAAAGTTAGATTTTCATTGTCGTGTTACAAGCGTGATTCCTTGTGAACTACTGTGTATATTCACCATTTAAATTCGCATATGTTATTTGTTAAATACGAATTAACTACATGTTTCCATAAAACTCGTGCAGAATCCAACCTCTTTCCTATCTCCAGGCCTTCTCTCTCTCTCTCTCTCTCGGGAGGCTCTCTTATATAACATTCACTCCAGGACGTTAGTTCGTGCACACGGTATATAGCAGCGTTCTCTCTATTCTCGTTCGTAGCACGAAACTCGACAAACTCGACGAGTCCACGAAGGAGAGGCCCGGTGCAGTGTCGGTGCAGTGTCGGGTCCGAGCGTGCAGCAGCTTCCCACGCTTGGCTCGCTCTCGCTCGCGCCGCGTACACACTCTCTCTCTCTCTCTCTCTCTCTCTCTCTCTCTCTCTCTCACTGCTCCCGTGCCTGGTGTATACCTCTCTCCTTTTCTCTTCCCCTTAACTATATCCGTGTAGAAGTGTGTACGTGTGTATTCTACCTCCTGGTCGTGTTCATTCCTCGTCTCTGCATCCAGCATCCTTCTTGTCGCTCTTTCTCTCGCGTACCTGAGTCCGACTGCTCTCTCAGGATTAATCTGTACGTGTGTACGCCTCTTCGCGTCTACTTTCCGCGTGCTCAGTGAGCTCTCTTGAAGCTAATTTTGATTAAAAGTTTTCGGAAATTGTGTGAAAGAATTGTACAGTTTGTAGGTTAGATTTTGGTTCCGACGCCCAAAGAATTAGGTGATCTTTCATAATTTTTTAAAAGAATTCTATGAGATGGATTAATACGAAACTTTGTAGATTTTCTGAAGTACATTTCGTGAATACTCAATATTTTTTTCACGTTAAAATGCTTATTTATTTAAACATGGTAGCGATTCTGCCGGCGCGCTGAAAAAGTGTCTTGTCCACGGTTGCCATAAATTCAACTGTGTAGTGGTCCAACACTAAGAAAACTAAAGAGATTTTAATCTTTACAAATGATTTAAAGTAAAGTAAAACCAATTTGAAAAAAGTCGTTTCGAGAAAAATACGTTCGAAGTTTTCGATATTGAAAAGTAAGAATCTTCAAAAACTTGTAGCTTTTTTTCGCTAGTCTGCTATTCCTGGCCCAAACTTTCTGCTTCCTCGAAATATTTTTGTTGTTCATATTGTTGTCTGAGCCTCCTTGGTGCTACTTAGTAAGTGTCGATGAAAAATTTTTTATTGCTGTACAATATTAAACTTCAATTCCGCTATTTCGTCGACAGAGTTAACATCTCTGCTTACTGCTAAGTCGTATTAATTTGTTAGCTTTTTTCTAAGGGCATATGTTGTCTTACCTCTTCTTCAAGTTTTCTTGCTTTTTTATATTCCGAAGCAGAATAGCCATTCGTTTTTCAACGTGACCAACACATTCAAATATCACACTTGAAAATCGTCCCCATAAGGACTCAAATCTAACATTGCTTTGTACGTTTTTAAGTCTCCGTCGCCGATGTAATTGGCGTACGCGTGAGGCGTAGCTATAAGATCGGTTGCAGTCTGGTTAATACTTCGAATTCCACTTTACAACTTTACGGACATATTTTATAGATATATTACTTGTTGATTTATTTAAAAAAAGGAATCGATTTTGTTCAACCATCACAGTAGGGAGAAGAGACCCCTTAAGATATATAGACTGCTTGCTAATAAGTGTTTACCCGTGTATTTTTTTCACTTTATTCAAAGTATTGTAGCTTTCTCCTTTGTTTCGACGATTTTTTTTTTTCTTCGATTGGTGTCCAGGATGGATTTGAATGGGGGCCCGTTTCGCAAGGTTCGTGCGAGCAAGGCAAACGCGGCTTTTCTCCCCCGACGATGGCATCCGAGATCTCGATCTCCTTTTGCTTCCTTTGCCAGCGTGCCAAGTCATCGCATTCCCGTCCACGGCCAACATATTCGAGCCCAGGGAACTTGTCGCCGCCGTCAGGGGAATGGCATTCACGAATTTGACCGCGATTAGGGGTGTTAGGTCTTTCTAATAATCGAACCAGCCCAAACCATGATACAATATTGCCACTTGATCCCTTCTGCGAGAAACTGATACAATTTTCGAGTACGAGGATCTGTGCAAGTGTTTGTAACACGCTTTATGAAGTTGAAAATTTATTGGTTTACGAAAATTTCAAATTCCAATTTAGATATTTACAGTTTGTAAAATGATCATCCCTAACATAACCTACGTACACAAAAGCGCCCATAACCTCAAACACAGATCCCAAGAAAGAACTCCTTAAAATTGAAATTAACTAAGTTCATGTATCTAACCTTACAAGAATCACTTCGTTATCGATTCATTTCCTCAAAAATCTACCAACCTAATCCTATTCACCACACCACAAATGCTCTCATAACCTCAAAAACAGATTCCAACAAGGAACTCCTGAAAACCGCAATCAGCTAACTTCATATACCTAACCTTATACCAATCACTTCGTTGTCAGTTCATTTCCTCAAAAATCGAGCAGTTTTCGCAATGTCTCCAGTCATTCTGGACTCAACAGAGGTCTTTCCCGTGGCGGTCGTCGTTCGGTCGTTGCACCCATCACGCAGTGTCGAGCCGGCGCTCGACAAAGTTTCTCCGCGCATTGATTACTAATAGACTACTTACTCTTCATTTCGTGACATTCCCGGGCATTCGTGGAATCGTTCGTTCGTGCGTGGAGTTTTTCGCGCGAACTAAAGCAGCCAGCGTTCTCTGGATGTGCAAAAAACCTAGTACCACGCGATCTTTTCTCACGTGCTCGGCCAAGCGCACGCCCACGCCACCGTTTCCAGGATTTTCGCCGCCTTCCTGTTCCTCCTGCACCGCCGCCGCCGCCGACTCGAGACGCGATGAGAATGGGCCATTGTTGCGATTTACTGCTCGTCTGGCCGCGGACGCGTGCTAGGTCCGGTCGAGGAGATTTTAGCACGATTAGCCGACGTTGTATAATAGGCGTTTCTACTTTTCGAATGATTGTATATCATTGTCTTACTTGATACTTCGCTTCTTTTCGTTTTTTGATTGACGGAGGTAGATTGAAAGTTGGTCTGTTGATTGTGAAATAGAATTGAGGTTTATCGTGGATTCTTCGTGGTGGGAAAAGTAATAATTGGTAATTGTTTCTGATCCACGGAGGGGAAATGTGAATTTTGGTGTTCTTTTAGGTCTGTCATAAGTATCAATTCAATGTGACTGGATTTCTTTTTTTTTTATAGGAGGAAGTGAATTGAGGTTGATTGTAAATGTTTATGTAGATAGGAGAAAATTTATCACGTTTTTGAACAAAGAAAGGAGAATAAACAGGCAAATACTTACGAGTGGGGTAGTTTAGATATAGTCAGCGGAAGAAATATAGTGAGATCGTAGGTTTACGTTAGCTCGAGCATATTGACAGGCGAATCTGACCCCAAATCTCAGCCAGGGCCATATGTGTACCTCAGGTTTGATTCAGTCCGTATCGAGCCTTTTGCGTTTCAATTTACGACATCGCTACATTTCTTTCTCCGACTATACATGATACGTGACTATAGGGAGTTGGAAAGAATTAATAGGTTTTCCTACAATATTTCCTAGCAAACTTGAAAAAAAATACATCTACTAAAATTGTGAAATAGTATTATATTTGGATAATGAACACGTTTATCTAATTCCCAATTGGTGGCAAGGTTGAAATGTATTTTTAAATGAGTTAATGTGAATAGTTAATTATAATGTGATATTCTGAAATTGAACTTGCTTCACGGACGGGTTCCGTAAGAACGAGATTTTATTTCACGGGTAAAAAAAAAAAATGGAAGCGGTTCTGACGGGGCGTGGTTTCTAGAAATGGCGAGAGTATCGCGTCCTGGCTGCTGTGTACTCAGAGAGTTTGCTCAGCTGACCCGGTGTGCCGGTTTCCGTAAAAAAATGCCTGCCACCGGTCGACGGGAAAATGTGTCGCCCACGGCGAATTGGCTCGTTGACCTCTTCAATCAACCAAAAACTTCAGAATTTACTGTGAAACTTGAATATACATATTTCGTCAACATTTCTCACCTATTTTCACAAATTCAATTGTAACACGTTCACTGTCTGTAACGAGTTGATTTTTTCGGACACATTCCTTATATCTGTTCAACCATATTTTCTCAACCCCAAGCAACGTTCGACCCAACATTGAACCATGAGGAAAGCAGATACAGCCGGGTTAATCGCCCTTAGAGACAATAAAAAAAAAACAGCTCCTGAATGCACAAAGACCCAGTCCCAAGCTATACGACACTTAGTCCAGCCGATGATCCTAGCAAAGGGGTTAACGAGGGCAGACCAGGCTAGAACAGGGCTGCAGCCGTGTATTTCGGGGGTGCCAGGCCGCGTATTACATAGGGGTTGGTTGCAGAGGCAGCTGCAACGCGACGAGCGTAGCCGAAAGAGGCCGAGTGGGCCCCCGACAGCTGCACAGAGGCCTCGGTGCTTTAACCAACAGCTGCACCGGCCTTACGTTCACAGTCCACTTCCATTTCAACCCCTCCCCCCTCTCCTGTAGTCCCCGTCACTCTCGCATTTTTCCATCTTCTTCTTCTTAATCTTGGTGTCCTTCTCTCTTTTACACCGTGTATATGTTAGGTAGCTAGTTAGACTACCTGTGCTCGATGGGACTTTTTCGATTTTTCATTCCATTGATTCATTTCCATTGGTATAGAGCTGTGTACTATAAATGGTTGTGTGTCAGGTAGAATTTGTAGAGGTTAGGTTAGGAAATAATGCTTACCATGGGCGACGGTACGATTGGCCGTGTGTTCATTGTCGCTGTTCCACGAAAGGTCAGACACGAAACGACCAAGTCGGTTGAACAGCCGGGGTGTATAGAGAAAAATCGATACGTACGTTGGCCACGAGCCGTGAAATTCGTTGGGGAAACGGTATGGTGTCCGGACGTTTAAAGGGAACAAACGACTTCTAGGACTGTTACGAGGTGTTCCTGGATAAGGGTGCAGTGGAGGTTCGTGAAAGTTTGCAGGTTGCGGTTCTTTTGGTCTGAGGGATCAGCTGAGGGATAGGTTAGGTCTATTGTATATATGTATATACCTGTTTCAAGTATTTGGTGTATGAAATGTACTATGACCAGTCTTGTTAAAAGTAACGATAATTGTTGTTGACGATTATATTAAAATTCTGGTTGTTTTTTCGTAAATAAACGTTGAAGTTTACGAAGAAAGTTATCGAATTAATTTGCGCATCTAATAAACGAGAAATGCATTCTCAAACATGCAATTAACATTTCGTCCGCCGTGTCCGCCATATTTCCACGTCACGCAAGTCACACTTTTCCGTTAGAATTTTACTAAACACGTCAGAAGTAAAGCTACGTGCAGTAATATTTCCATTGATCGTACTTGAAAATCCCTCGAGCCGTTCGAACTGTCAAACGTGCCACCATTTCCCTTCGGATCAGCTGACGACAGTGCTACCACCCCACGGATTACCGCACAGCAACGCCACAACATCGTGATCCAAGTTTAACCACCGGCGTGTGTCAGACGCTGCCGTAATCCCGGTGTTTAATTCAGGAACATCAGTTTCTCCACCATTCGTACCCTCCCCTCCCCCCCTCTTCGCTCCTCTTTTTCCACGGTAAGGAACCGGTGGAATCCGCGCGATTCAATTTCGTCCCGCGGGATGGAGGTATATCGAGGCTCTGGCGTTTCTCTCGAACGTCGACTCCGGTCCCTCGACTCGGTTCTCCACTCTATAAATACCATACGCTCCTTCACCGCTTCGAGACTCGAGACTTCGCGAGAGAAGCGTGCAAGAGAGCCGCTCCGTGGGCCGTTGCGCTCGGTGCCAAGGTCACGCGGCCCATCGGCCCTCTCCTCTACCCCCTCCCCCTCCCCCCGTTCCCTCCTCTCTGGCCAGGGTTCACCTTCTTCTCTGTACCGGCCACCTTCAACCCCCTAATTCAGGAAGACACCGGTCGACTGCGTTTCTCGATGATACGCCTTTGTTCGACTTGTTTTTCGAATCTTCTGTGGACACTCGGAACAAAACTGTAAACGAAATATGTTATTCTATGGTTTATACGGAGATAGATAATATTCGATGTTTGTACTGTTCTCTATACGTTGGCTAGGTTATGCTAGCCTTGTTTTTCTACAGTTTCGAGAACGGATTAAATTACTTCCGTGCGTTTATGGGATTTTTTGTTTGAAATACGACTCTTACGAGTTCGTGAGGTTTTCTTTAAAACCTTCTCCGAAAATGTCGTTTTATTCAATATTCAATTATTTTGTTCATACCTTTCACACGTTTCTACTATGTATTGCCATTGCAAATAGATCGTACAATTATTCCAATTGAGACGTTTTAGCGTTTTAAAATTCCCAACCTAACCCCGGGCCGTTCGTTGAAATTCAGAAAAAGACGTACGTTTGAGTGGGAACCAATTGCCGTTGCGAAACAGAACGGTTCACAAAGTTACGGAAACTTTACAACGTGGCACGTGTACGTGTACACAGAGGAGAAAAGAAAAACTCGGGAGACATAGACGATGGGCAGAAAGAGAGATCGTGGTAAGTCGCATGGTAACATTGCAGACACACAGGGCCCGGCGGTCTATATACTCGGGGAACGTACGTAACTGAACTGGTGGCTGGCAGCCAACTGAAAGACTTTGGATATATTTGCGGACTGGACAAGCCGCTCGACACGTGACACAATTTCATTACCCTTGCCGGGCCGCGTGTGGCTGCTGTTACGTCGATCTTTCTCCTCT